CCCACCTCACTCCATTCGGTTATTCGGCCGCGTGCATCGGAAATTCCAGTTACGCCCCTGGCACCGCCACGAGAAAATTTCCTCTCGGAAAAGCGTCTGCGTCGTGTACCGCCGGAGTAAGCTGGCCGGCGGAAAGTGTTCACGGCAAAACGTGCACCAACCGCGACGTTTACCCGGAGGTGTTTCCACCGGTCACCGCTCGGCGATAAGCTCGGCGATACCGCGGGGCAACGTCTCGGCGCACACGCGCGAACGGAACGCCGCGTCGCGCCGCGGGCCAATCGGGCCGACCGGGAGAAGTGCACTCCGCGCGTCACGGCGAGCGACGGGCCCGTGCGCGCGAAACAGAACGCGCGGTCTCCGCGCGAATTCCATCACCGTCGGCCGTTCGCTCTACTACACGGCGTTTCGGAACAACAATAATAACGATGACGGTAATAATAATATTATTATTGTCGTTCGCCTCGCGAAAGTCTGTCGGAAACCCGAACTCGCGCCTGCGGTGGCGCGGGCGGTTTTCACGGCCCGGTTCCACAACAACAATATATTATAATCGAATTACGTTTACTTCAACAATCCGTATTATTACGGCGTTATTGTAATAATAATGCGCGTCGGGTCGTGTGTGTGTGTGTGTTTGTTTGTGTGTGTGTGTGTGTGTGTGTGTGTGTGTGTGTGTGTGNTGTTTGGGGGGGGGGGCTGGCGGGCGGAGGGCGTAGGTAACACGCACGTATTACAGATACCCGCCGCAATAATAATTTATATTACCCCGTACGCCAGTACTCGCCGCGCGTATTAATTAACATATTATTAGCATTAAACTTTGATTTCGACCCGAGATCGCCGAGCGCCGTTGTTAAGACGACGAGAGGCTCTACGACCGCGTTCGCCGTCTCGTCCGCGTCCGCGAAACAACAGACGGTAACGAGTTAAATGGTCGAATTAGTACGTTACTCGGTTTAGGTTGAAATTACAGTTCACGCGCGTCCGAACCACCCCCCCCCCTCTCCCCGGATGATAGGGTTTTAAGAGGGAACCGTTTTCGACGGCGGCGCGGTAGTTGCCGTTTTTCTAAAATTCGATCATTTTTTCGCATCAAATAGTCGAATGAACAAATGCGTCGCCCGGAACGTCATTTACAAGTGTGCTATTTCACATTGCATAGGTCCGTTCGTTTTTCGATTTTCTCCGGAGTTTTTTCGGCAAATGTGAAAGATTGGTAAAAAAGATTGAGAAAAATCCGGGAAAATCGGTACAACGCCCGAACAAATATTATTAAAGAGAATATACAGAGCCTACTTAATTAATTCACTATAATATGGCATATATATTGTTGACGACACAACATCACTATCAACCGAACTCCGCCCGGAATTTTTTTTTCAATCTAGGTTTTTTTAAATTTTTTTTAGGAGGAATACGATTTCTACGATTTTTTTGAACATTCCGTACAATAAGAATTGGACGAAACATTTACGTATATAAAAATACGTTTATTGCCGAAAAATAATGTACAAAAAAAAAAAATCGTTCTCTCGTGTAGCGAGCCATTATTAACAGAAATAAATACAACGTAAAATAATGTACAGCATGTAGGAAAAACGGGAAAATAGGTACAATATTGAACAAATATTTTCGAAGACAATACAATATAATGCCTGTGTAATTATTTTACCATAGTACGACATAATATTCATTAATTATAATGCGACTATACTATCAATTGAATTCCGTTCAGGATCGTTTTTTCGTTAGCACCGGTTAATCGTTAACAGAAACGCATTGAATTACCTTTGACAGTGGCTGCATCCGTCCCCACTATCCTAGAACGTCTATTTTCCTTTTAAGGCGCAATATTACTAAGAACCCCTCGGTTTCATTGTGCATGCTGTAACGTCTAAATCCAAATGTAAAATGACCGTGCACGCGGTGGATCGTGCGTGGCCCTTTTAGACTGTCATTTCGAGAATGAAATAATAAAACTAATAATAATATGAGTGCGTCACTATCCACGTAGGTGGAATTTCGGGAACGTACGACGCAATAATGTTGTGTAATTCAATTCCGTAAGGAAATACGATTCTGAACTGAGTTCGGTTAGACACGTTGTGAAACGCCCGTGTTTTTTTTTTTTTCGTATTAACGCGAACTAGAAAAATGCTTAAAATAGCTTGGATACGAAATTCTGAAATGTAGAAATTCGATGTATTTCTATGTAGAAATTATTCGATTGGAGCAAGATATCCGGTTGAAAATTGATCAACAGACACAAAAAAAAAAAAACACCGCAGTAAAACTAACGCGTAATATGCGTAATACGTGTAATCCGCGATTTCCGTTATCATTATTTAGGCCGTGTGTTCGTTAAAAAAATATTAAATGTTAAATTTAATAATGATGAGTAACTACCTAAAATGCTAAAGACGAATGTTATAAAATATTGGCATTTTAGGATTTTGTTTTTGGGAAAAAAAAATATTTCGTATATAAAACTGGCGAGACAGCGTGTATGCTGTTGTAACTTTTGTGTCTCGTTCGAGAAACTGCAGGTCCCGTTCGTGATCTAGAATTTCATTTATTGCCATGGCTTTATGTGTGATGTTTATTGAAATATTAGTATTTAATTTTTTTCATTATGGTTGTGTCGTTCGCACATTAATTATTAAAAAACGTCAATTAATACCCTCGCGTTCGTATCGAACTCCGTTTAAAACGTTTAATCGTTTTTCAATATCCGATTGTAATATACGTGGACAGTGCAAACGCGCTGTTTGTAACTCCGTTCGGAAAAATATATCCGCATTATTATGTAATAAAAAAAAAGCAAAAAAAAAAAAAAAACAACCACATTGCAGCACGTTCGCATTATTACTTTTCCAAACGTATAATAATCGTATATATATATACATAGGTACCTAAAAGTATTAATATTTCAAACGATTGAAACGTTATGCAAACATTGAAATACACTCTGTGTTGTGCAGTTCGACAAAAAACAAAAAAAAAAAAAAAAAAAAAAAAACGCATTTGGCTCGGAGTGTGTGCATTATTAAAACGGATAATTTTTTTGCGATAAAAAAAAAATATTTGACAGTGTAGCGAAACTTGTTCCGAAACTTTTCTCTAGATTTCATATAAATACGCGATGTAGAAAACAAGAACGGCGCGTTCGGGTTGCCGAAACGAAACGTCCGTTTTTCCGCGCCGGCGGTGTGAATACGCCGTACACGGGTTCGACAAGAATACGACGAGCCCGCCAACTCCAATAAAGCACGTAAGTATTACAATAGCGTACACGAAATATCGAGAACCGCTTTCTCCTCTCTGTTCTCTTGTTCTAACGGTCCGCGGTGTCACGGGGCCGCGGCCGTCCGCGCTCGTTCGTCGGATTATCCGAATCGTCAGGCCCCACGGTAACCACCGACTCCCCGCGATACTTTTATGTTGTCGGTCGGGTGAACATCCCGACCGTCTTCTTCGCCAACTGCACCACGGCCCCTCGACAATCGGCTCGACAAACCGTCCGCATAATTGCGTAACGCCGCGTTATCCCTTCCGTTTTCGTGACACAGTCCGCCGGAGTCGCCGTTTCGCCCGCGAACCGTTCGCCCCGCGAAACGTCGTTTGTCAACGACGGTCCGGTACGCCCCGCTCGCGACCTCGTCCCGTGTTGGAGACAGGTGTCCTTTGAAAAGCGGTTCGCGCCGTTGTTCCCGCGTCCCCGATTTAGCCGGGAAATTTTTCGATTTTCTCCAGAGTGTTTTCATCGAGTGTGAAAAACCGAGAGAAAAAGAAAAAAAAAAAAAATACGGGAAAACGTACGATACGTATATCAGTGAAGTATTACGATTTTTTTTTTTTTTTTTTTGTCTGCGGTCGACTTTTCTACCGGCAATTTCGCTCCGATTTATGATGATGATAGTATTTTTATCAAAAGTAAATCGAACAGGGAACGTACGTGAAAAAGATCATTATTTGATATTCCGAAGGGTTTTCCCGGCAGATGTGCAAAACCGGGAAAAACGGGAAAATCAGATCATTCATCGAATTGTATCAAAAGGAAAAAAAATAATATCATATGCATATTATTTTACTATAATACGACACATATATTGTTGACAAACCTATCTAAAACCAACTAAATTATTCTTACTTATCCTAAACAATATACCGTTATTCGGACAGTCGGATAAATCGTTGGATAAATCTAATGGCAAAGGTTTTGAATACGTACACTGCAATTTTTTTTTTTCGGTTTCAAGTGCTTTTGTAGTGTGTCGGCAGTACCCGTGACTTTACCAGAGTATCATTAGCACCGGCTCGCCGTCGAAACGGCCGACTAAATCGCTACACTTGCATTTTTGATTTTATGTTTTTATTTTTAATTGTTACAGTTATATGCGAATAAATTCCGAAATGCTTCCGACCCTTCCCCCCGAGCGCCCTTACAATATTCCCCCGTCCCTGTTTCCCTCCTCCCAAACTTGTAATTACACGTCACAAGCTATGCATGTACACATAATATTACCGCCCGTACAAATCGTTCGGAATCGTTTTTTTTTTTGCGAAAATAACAATTTAAAAAAATTGCCCCCTTTTAGTCTTAATTTTATTATTATCGCTATTATAAATACGTCTCGGCTGTAGAAAACGTCAGTTTTCGGCGGTCGAAAAATACGCTGGAAAATTATATTATCGCGGTGATTATCCGCAGCACACTCCCTCGGCTTTCGAACGCGACGGATTTTTTTCCCCTTGCCGTGCGTTGGCCACTCCAAAATTATTATTATTATTATTATTATTATTTTATTATCGTCGTATACATAGCGCGTAAGTACAGTGTTTTTTTTTTTTTTTTAATTTTTTTTTATACGCGCAATATGATCGCGTTTCCTCCGCCGCGCGGTTATAATATTATATTTTAATGTGCGTAGGTATAATACGTAATAGTAATATTGTGTATGTAGTTCCGAAAAATTATAACGAACTCGTCTCCCGGGGATGATATTGGGGGGAGAACCGGGGGATAAAACACAAATATATGCACAGTATAATATGCGGCGCGCGAGTCCGTCGGCGGCGGCACGAGGAGTATGCTTTTATGTATTTTTATTTTTTTTCGTCGTTATTTTATACCTACCGCTGTTTTTTTTTTTTTTTTTTTTTTATTATACACTCGACGGTTTAATAATAACGGTATTATTTCGTCGTCGAGATTGCGTATACGCGCGCGTATATACTCCGTCTCGGGCTGCGGGGGAAAAAACGATAGCGAAAGAAAAAAAAACATGGGCACTTCTAACCTACCGAAAAAAAAAAAAAAAAAAAATTGTCCCCGGCGCGCGTATAACGAGAAAAGTGACTCGCGACTGCTGCGACATTACGTTCCGAGTCACTATGATATTGATAACCGTGGCTGAACCGTGCAGCAGTTCGTTCGTGCTAATAACACTTTGTGCGCGAGTGGGGCAAAAAAAAAAAAAAAGAAAGACGAAGAAAATACCCGTGGAAATTGGACGACGACACGGCGGCGGGGGGCTGTAGCAAAAAAAAAAAAAAAAAAAGACTGCGGCAATTTCGCCGGCGGTTATAGTCTAACGGCGTTTTATAATTATTTTAACGGGCGAGACTGTATAGGTATAATGTAATATTAATATACAGTGTAGTTCAAAACGTACGCAGTTTTTGAATCCACCCCCTCAGATTTGTCGTGTGCGCAACACCGATTTTTAGCATTTCCGTTAAACGGTTCACAACCGGAACAACAACGCGCGTTGACCGTGAACACCTTTAATCGTCCGCATGGCCAAAATTATGCGACTGCATTATTCGACGATTCCGTGCCATTCCAGGACGTAGTACCCTAGGACCGCCAACAACAACTAAAACGCTGGCGCTGCAGAAAAACCTCAAAAGTTTAATGAAAAGTTCCAGTTCGTTCGTTAAACTAATTTGTCGGACAGTCATTGAATATATCGTATCGTTGTCAAAGATATTGCGTGCCATCCAAGCATGTTAGGTTAGGTTATATTATTTTTCCAAAACGAAAAAGTTGCGTAGTTTTTTTGACGACGAAAAATTCGCCGGCGCAAATCGATTGAAATTTGTCTCGAAAAGTAAACCGGTGTGGCGTTCTGTAATCCGTTTGGTTCGTGGTTAAACGTTTTAGTTGTTTCGATATTGACTTGCCCACGACCTTACACTCGCCTTTAGTTCCCGTTTATTTATCGGCTTCGGCTACTGCACTATTTGTACGGTCAATTTCAACGAGAATCAACGAATCATCTGACAGGTTGTGTCGTTTAGTGAGGGAAATAGGTTCAAATAACTCGAATTCCCACCTATAAACGGGAGAAATTGTAATTTATTGAAATCGCGTTAGTTTTACTTTAGTTTGGCTAAGTTCAGCGGCGCTGTGCCTATGTGGAGGTAGTCTATCGTGCACGATCCACTGCGTGTACGGATTTATCCGCTGCATTCGGCACAATGAAAACGCGAGATTCGCTAAAAGTCTAATTGAGATTCTGGTTTACAGGGAAAAAACTGACGTTTTCAACCAACACGCGTTTCAACGGTCTTCTGATGATATTTTATTCGATTTCATATGCGCAAATACACATTTACACAGACGGGCTTGAAGAAACGTGCCAGAAATATGATACACAAGCCTACACAGGGCATTTGAAAGGGAAACGCATTTGAAGAGGGCTTAGTATAATTTATCACCGCCTACTCTGCTGGTCTCGAATTACAACAACTGTAAATATTCCTAATCTTGAAATTTAGAATTTTTCGCTAAAATTTTAAGGAAAAACTCGGCGAAAATAAAATGTTACTTTGTGTTTTATCAGATGAGAATTCCACGATATTATATTCACGATTCGTGCAGTGAAAAAATTCGCGGGCACGGCACTGAAAGTTAAAAAGGATATAATTTGCGGGCTTATAAAAATTATAATTAATTTGCGTTTACGTTCCATGATATAATATTTCCTCTCGCGGCGAAAAAATTAACTCCGAGATTTTTGTCTCTTAATAATTATAATGATAATATTGTTTGTCTTGTAATTTGTCAGAAATAATTAAAAAAAAACAAACGTTCCGAAAACTATATCGGGGAGAAAAAACTCGCGGCAACGAAATATACATAATTTTTTTGTACATCACTGCATTGTTATTATTGTAATATTCATTTTTCTAAGTGAATCGATTTTAATAATAATTGTTCAACAAACGAACATTTCGTTTAACAACAATAATTATTGCATTGCAATGTTTATTTCGATTCGTCCGCAATTTAGATCTCGTTGTTTTTTAATTTTATTATAATTCGGAATATTTCAGAAAAATGTATACAGCTGCCAGTGGAAAGTTTTACTCGAACGATAACGCGAATAAACGCGATTTAGTCGGACCGAATTGTGCTAAAACCGGGTTTATTTTTGGAGACGCCCAGGAGATGATTGAATCGCATACCCGATGTTGGATTCTGAGTGGATATTTTTTTTTTTATCCGCGCTCAACTTTTCTACCAGAAATCTTACTCCGTTTTTTAAGTGCAGCGTTTTTTTGAAAAAACATCGGTGTGGAAGGAGGGTACAAGGAGGTCATTTTTTAATTTCCCAGGAGTTTTCATAAATACATTAAATTATAAATTACCTAAAACAGTGGCTGCATCCGTGCCTATTATCCCCTTTGACGGGAGTCCTAACAGCTTTTTATCGATACAATTTCGGAATGTAATAGTTTTAAGTTTATAAGGTTTTAATAAAACCACGAATTAAAATATTGTAATGCAATTGCATAAATGCATACGTGTTGAAATCAGTGCAACACATATTAAAATTGTCAAATTAATTTATATTTAAAATTTAAAAAAATATTATGTTGGTGATGGCGACATTTCAAAATTATCGCACTCGAAGCTCTTATTATTTTTTCGAACCACTACCGGTCTCTGATTATTCATATTGTTTTGCCCTGTTACGGGGCGGCAATTATTATAACCTACTCTGTTTCGCGTTTCAGACCCGGTCGAATGGTACGCTTCAACCGATATGAAAAAATAAAAATGTTGAACTGTTTTGAACGAAAATAACCCTCGATTTGCTGTGCGAAACGCCGTCGGATCGTTCGAATACGGAAATTAGACTAATTTTTTTTTTTTTTTTTTAACATAGTAAAAAATAACGCGCACTTTGGACGGTATCGAACTCGATACGCGTAACGCGTTATCCGATTCGCCACGGTCGGTTCCGAAATGATTTCAAAATAATTAGGTGTTTAGTCTTTTGAGTTATAGCGGGCGAAGCATAACATTGTACCGGGTCCGAAACGCGGTACAGTACGTTAAAATGCTACGGGGCGTCGTCGTGGTTCCGTTGTGGCGATATTTTTTTTACGATATATTTTTTTCGTGGCGCCTCGAAAATCGACATCGATACGCGACGCGCAATACCGTGCACATAATATAACGCGCACACTGCATTGAATAATAACAATCGGTGACGGTCGGGCCGATCCGAGGTACCCGGCCAAAAAACCCCGAAAAAATAAATAATAAAATGTCATCGAAACGTTTTCTCTCTATCTCTCTCACTCTCTCTCTCTCTATCTCTCTCTCTCGTTCTCTCTCCCTCTCACCACCCCAACACCAATTACCGCCGGTTCGCCCGTATCCGTTCACGCGGGCGGTGTTGGAGGGGCACAGTAATAATAATATTCGTATTTTTTATTCTGTATATTTTCACGATAATAACATTCGACT